TCTCCACACTCCTCACATGAGCCCAGTATTTTTCATTGGGTTTTTGGTTGGAAAGCAGTAGGGTTAGATTGGTAGGTGGGTACCTTGTACACTTCAAGAGGGTTTATTAGGTATAAACTCACTCTTTAGTTATTTGTGTTTTTTGCCTTTTAGTTTCCTTTGAAAATGTGGGCCAGAAGATGACGAGGTTACAGTCAAACTGCAAATAAAAGACTTTTAGTGAACCATGGATTGACAAGCCATCCAGATTTTATATTTTGTAAAGATTCTCATGTAGTGTTCATAAAGTTCATAACACACAGTTTGCCATGCAGACCAAAAATGATACTGTTTTGCTGAATTTAATAAGAATATAATTCTCAATTAAAAAAACGATTTAAACGATTTTTTGCAAAAACAAAAAAAAAAGGTCAATGATATTTTCTGTTTGAATCATCTTGCAATAAGTAGCCCATTAAATCAGTATATGGGGTTTTAATAGGAAACATGAAGTCTACTTGTAACTCCAAGTATGGTTCCGTGACTGATCAAAGAAGCACAGAGGGAATAAGTACGTTTTGACCTAAAAGTAGCATCATAGATAACGCAGATGGTATGGTAACTATAGTAACTCTTATCCCCTCTGGGGCAACATCCTACATGGCCAAAGCAAAGATGTATGATCTTGGATCCAGTTGTGACATGGCAGTGACAGGAACATGGGCGGAGCTAAGGGCAGGGCCACCGCCCCTGGGCCCAGGGCCCTCCCCTGGATTGTAGCGGGCCCGCCCACATAATAAATACACACAAAATCACACTAATACAATTCCTCTCAATCTCTTGACTGCTGAAATATATTATTTACACTTCAAACCTAACTTGCGATTTTATATATCTGTCATTTTTGGTATACATTCTTATTATGGTGGGTGTATGGTGTAAATATTTTTTTATTTTTAAAAATCAGTAAAATCCCTACAACAAACTTGAGATATAATACATAGTAATGTTTTGAAGTCAAACTAAGCTGATCCTTTTGTATTTAATGGTTTTAAATTGTTTGCAATTTTGCCATGCCTTCTTTAAACTGTGTTTTGTTAGACTACATATTTCGGGATGTTTTATTGTAGTCTTTGTAAATATGTATATAGTTTAGCCTAAGCCAGCCACTTAAAGGAGCAAGCCAGCTCAACTAGGTGCCGGTGTTCTGACAAAACGTCCTACTTTATCAAAACATCCTACCGTAGTGCTAATCGATAGCCCTAACCCTAACCCCCCAAAAACCCTTACCTTAACCCTAACCCCTAAAACCTAACCCTAATCCCAAGACGGTGGAACTGCACATGCGCAGAAAAGCTCGATAGCACGTCTCGATAGGTAGGATGTTTTGTCAGAACACCAGTTTAATGGGGAGGGTTGGCGTCAAGAAATAAAGAGACTGTATCTTCACTGCATCACTGATGTCAAAATGTGGGAAATATGTGGTTGTATAAATAAATGCGTTAATGATTCTGTGCTGTCTAAATTGTATAAAAAGTTAGGCTACATGACATTTGAATGGGCTGTACCCGAATGCATGGACGCATCATGAGAATGAGAAAGACGGTGCGTGCACACTAATTAACCGATACCCTATTCACTTAGACTATACACTGTAATTTTTGCAACAGAAATGGATGAGATGGACAGGTAGCTGGAGGTGGAATTTTTGTCCTTGGTAAAACTCTGACCGTCTCCACACTGGTAACAACGTTGTTTTCTAGGCATAGCCAAACAAATCTCCTCCTGTCTGAAAAGGCGTAGAAAATGCAATTTAGCCACTAAAGCTTTACAGTTCTTGTGAGGGACAGTCGAACGAAAGTTTTTTTGTGTTCTTGCATCCACACTTTAAAACTCGTTTCAGTGCTGCCACATACAGTGGTACCTCATTTCTCGAACTCATTAGAACTCGAATTTCTTAAAAGTCGAACCAACTAGTTCGAAAAAAAATTACCTAGAGCTGGATCTGAATCTCAGAAGTGAAACCGTGAATGCCGACCTAAGATAACTTGTACACGTGGGGAAATGAGTCACGCAGCACGTCTCTCAGCGGAAACAAAGGGTAAAGCTTCAGTCTCAGCCTCGCATTCGCTGTGATAGCATCGTGCATGTTTACACTAGCTGAATACATATATTTAGACAGTAAAAATACATTTAGACAACGATAGACAGTAACAGTAATTATTATCATATAATAAAATACATTTAAAATAGATTTCTTATTCATAATTTTAATATTAATAATAATCCATTAATACAGTTAAATATAATAATCCTGCCGAGCGGGGACGGAACGGAGACAAAGGCGCAGACGTCAGGTTATCGGGGAATACGGGGTTTAATTACAGGTAAGGCAGGCAAAACGCAGACGGACAATACAATGACCGGACTGAGGAAACAAACTGAGACGCGAACTAAATACAGAGGGCTATTGAAAACAACTAGAAACAGCTGATCACACTGGGATTCCACACGGAGTTAACGAGGGGGAGTGGCACACGGAAGAAGCGGATGATCAGGGCAGGACACATTGTTGTTTTTTTTTTAACTTTACACATTGTTTGGATACATTTATTTTCTTACTTTATAAATTACTGTTAAATGTGCTTAGATGTGTTTAGTACAGTATATGATCTTGTTTTATCTGGTTCATTTTGTGTTTAAATGCTTAAAAAAAAACATATTTACATGCAGGTGTAATTTTTTGGGGGCCAGGATCCAATTAATTGGTTTTACATTATTTCATATGGGGAAAATTCGATCAGAACTCGAACTTTTTAGGATTCGATCCAGAGTTCTGAACCACTGTATATGTATGCGCGTGCGCATGCGCGGTGGGGTGGGGTGGGGGCGGTGCCACTGGACAGGAGGCTTCAAATGTTGCAGTGTGGTGGCACATCACCTGAGTGACATTCCTCTCCTAGCATTACTGTGCAGAAACGTCTGGACGGCGTCTGGGAGCCAGGAGGCTCGCGACACTGTTTGGAGAAAAAACAGCGGGGACCGGCCGGCAGCGGCATGTTTGTTTTTAATTTCCCACGGTGATTCCCCTGACGCTTTCATGTGTCATAAAAGGCATCACTTGGCTGAGTACAGTCAATATTAAGCAAAGCTATCTAAACCGAGCACACAGCTTCTATACAGATGTGAGCATAAAGACCCCTTAAGATCGGGTGATAATTTGTAGATCTGCAGTTGTTTCAGATGTAAGTGCTTAACAGACGCACGATGTCCCTCTTCGACATTTGTCTCCCATTAGAGGGGGTAGGAATTCCAACCGCATCGTTCCCGGTAGCAACTCCCTTTGAAATATGCAAAGTCCATTTTCCGATCGACCTCTTAAGGATTTGCTTGAGTCGTGTGCGATGCGTGATCTCTCGCAAAAGCCGCCATGAACACACAGAGCAAATGCAAACTTCATGCTTACACAATTTCCAATCCAACATGCAGTTCTTGTTTAAATAAGCTAACATCTCCAGTAACGTATGTTATTTATATACATCTCTTCAATAACAATATAACCCGTAATACTACTCATACATGTTCACTGCTTGGGGTAAAACACTGCATTCTAATATTTAGAATACCAACAAATGGTCCTCAGCAGAAATAGTTGGAGAAAGATAAAATGTTTGAAATGAGTCCAAAGACTCTTGTCTTGGTGTCTTGAAAGAAACCACTTCGAAGCAGATTTAAAAGGATAAACCCCATTGGGGTTGCCAGTTGTAAAACAGAACTTTGTTAATTAGAAGCCAGTTCCAGTAAACATATCTCCTCATCCTACTGCTTATATGCACTGTTAAAGATTTTTGAAAGTTAACAGGGGATTGTCTTGACAGGTCAGCAGAATTCAACACCAGGAGGATCTCCACACAGACATGCATATAGCTTACTAAGCAGTAGGAGACACAAGACCTATTTTAAGGGCAGAGACACGTTATATTGCCTATAATTTGAAAGTACATGACTTAGCATAAAGAGGCGGGAAATGCTTTAAAATATGTTCGGCATCTAAAAAAAGTAGGAAAGTCTGAGAGTGGCTTTAATCACACCAATGCCGTCACTGAACTTCTTAAAAAGACAGACGTCTGTAGCTTTATTTATATATTCAAAGAATATTCATCTACTGTATAGCTTATATACTGTACACACACACACACACACACACACACTCACACACATATTTAAAAGATATCAACCTTGACATTATAACCACCACATAAAAAGTGTAAGTAATTTTGATATATGTAGTGTTTCTTTGTATATATGGTTTTCTGTAATGTATGGCTTTTTCCTGCAGAGACTGGATTGCAGTGTTCCTATCCAGGGTATTGCTGGTTTTTAAATTCTACATTCTGATTGCCTCTCCATTGCGTTTCAGCCTGTCAGTCATAGGCGCTTGGGTTGGAATTTGTGCAAAGTTCACTTCTTTCCAAACTCGCCATTAGGGCCTATTATTTTAGCTCCGGGAGGATCGGACATTCTGCCCGGCTTGTGATAAGGCTCCCATCTCCGCCTGGGTTCTGTCACAGCCCGGTCGTCCGGATGAAGCGCCCCCCACTTGTCTGAGCCCTGCCTCCCGATGAGGGAGAAGATAAGCGGGTCGGGCCCCTGATCTTCGGGGCCCCACGGCGAGCGTCTTGCTCAATAAGCCAGATGCAAACGATCCCTTAAAGCAATACAGACCAAGCATGATGGGGTGGTATTGCCCGTGTTGTGCTTGGCTATGTTTAGAGTAGCTCAGTTTCATTTACTGTTTAAAATGGCTTTTTTCACCTCAGCATGGATTCTACTTAATCTCCAATCTGAAACAAGCAGGATTCTCTGGGTACACAATACCTTACCACCCACATTATAGAGAAAATAATTACAGCCAAGTAAAGGACTGTCTCAGAAAGCTTGCTACGGAATCCCACAAAGGTCAAACAACATCTAATGACATAGCTACACTGCATTAGTCTACATATATTGAAAACTACACATTTAAAATAAATATTTTTTTATTCTGTTATTGGCTTTTACATGTATAAAGCATACAGTATGTTACAGTTATCAAAAGTGGAAAATACTGGCGTTACATAAGTAACAAATGTAAAAATAAGTAATTCATCTTACTTTCCCTGAAAGTAAGAACATTATTTTCAGCATATGAAAATATCCATAAAAACACAGCTTAAGTCGTTTTAATTTATTCAACAGTACAAATGTATAAACCGTACACTTTCTGAAATCCCAAAAGCAAAAACACAAAAACACGTTCCTTCAGGACGTTCACTTAAGTGGAACTGTACATTACTTCATAGTCTCTGAGGAGTTGGACGGCGCGTCGGAGTTCTTGACAAACGAGCCTCTGGCTTCCCTTTTTAGCTGGTCGACAAGAAACGCCAACCGCCTGACAGTGGCGAAAATGTGTGCCAAGTGCTCTACTCAAAGTGAATGACGAGGGGGGAGGGTGGGAAATAGTCAAGCGGTTTCTCACTTTCAAGCAAATACTCAAATGTCCGTAAGGCAGCAGTTAGTTAATCTGACCTCTTGGCCGGCCCTCTGAGTGGAAACACGCTGCACAGCTTTGGGAGGGACTGGGTCACAGTGCCGGCCAATAGGAGTGATTGTTTTCATGGCATCACCTGGATGCAGAGTTTCAGGTGTGGCCGAAATTCCCGCCCTCCTCTTGAAAATACAGCATCGATGTGAGCAGAAATATGTCAAAAATCTTGTCTAAACTTAAAAATGTGATTGTTACTGTTAAAGAGTGGAATTTGATAGACTCAAACTCAAATGTATTCATTAATTCAGCTCCCAAGCCAAGATGCCGTGTCTCTGTTTTTTGCTAGCGGTTTTATGTATGCTGCGTTCATTGTGCGTCAAGTCAAGTGTTTCCAACATCCAAGCACCTGGCAAGTTCAGATTTAACCTCTGCCTTACTGCATTTAAGATCGTCAGACCCGAGAGGAATAGGGAATATGTACTGCATATCCAAAGTCCCTTGCTCATTATTTATATCTTGTTTTAATAAAACAGTACAAAACGGTCAGTTAATATAAATACAGTCTCAGACGTACTGCTCAGCCTCTCCTTCGTTCAGAATGGTAACTGAGCCGTCGCCGCTGTTCATTTCAATGTCTTTCTCAGCGCCATTTTCCGGAAGCGACGCCAGATCCTTAAAAACGTCGACATAGTGACCGAAACCGGGACCCCAGTTCAACAGATTGTCCCAGTTGAAGGCTCCGGTTGATTGGCCCAGTTTATGTGACAAGGTGTAATGGTCAGTCAGGGGCATGTGAGGGCTGCTGGGACCCCCCTCGGCACGGCGGCTGGAGTACCGCCGTTGCTTGAGCCGGCCGCCATATTCCTCGTCATCTGCGTCCGACTCGTTGACCTGGGAGAGCTTGGGCATGCGGGAGCCATAGGCCACCGGCTTCTCCCGGTCGTACTCCATCTCGGAGCACGTAAAGGAGTCGTGCGAGTCACTCTCGGAGGACGACTCCGGGGCGGGGATGCCGTCGGCGGGGTTCCGCACCCGTGATAGGGGCCTCCGACAGTCCTCCTCGGATGAGGAACGACCATGATCGGCGCTGCAGATGCTTGGGTTGCGAGGCCGGGGAGTGTTGAGTCGCTCAACCTCCTCGATGGAGAGCCCGACTGGAGGTCCTGTCTCCAGGGGGATCTGCTCGATGGGCTGCTTGAGGCGGCTACCTGGCCGAGAGCCGTGACCTGCCATTGTCTGGGGACTTTTGCTCCTACGGCCCAAGCGGGTGGCATAGTTGAACATGCCGGGTTGGCATGCTTCGGTGTGCAGATCCAGGGGGCTGCCTTCCCTCCGGGCGAGGCTCAACTCCCGGGCAGGGCTGTTGCGATAGAAGGACGATGGCTTGGTGAAGGGGGCCGGGCTATGGCGGGAGAGCGGGTTGGGTGTGGGGCAAGTGGAGTGGCTCAGAGGGGTAGAGCGCAGCGCCTGGGCATAGCTGGGTTGATAGGTGTAGCTGCTGGCCCCCAAGGGCAGAGGAGATTGCCTGGCAAACCCCAGTGGGCTGTGCCGCTGGATGGAGAACTTGGGCGTGTGGCTTCGGAATTGCTTGTAGTGCTGGATAATGTCCGCGTCGGATGGTGCAATACTGCTGGCATTATCGATATCGTAGTGCTCGATATCTGCCTCGGGGCCGACGCAGGGGGCACAGGGGGCGCTGGGCACTGTCTCGCTGCTGTGCGGGAGGTCTGTCTCATCATAGATCAGGTATGGGTTCTCCCTCTCGATGATGTCAGGCTTGGGGTTCCCCTCCGGCTGCTTGCGCACTGCCATGTCGTCCCCGTACGGTGGGATGTTGTCGGGATCGTCGAAGGCCACGTTCTCACTGCCCTTCTTCTTCTTCTCTTTGGGCTTCTTCTCCTCCTTCGGCACTTTTGTCTTGCGGCCCTTGCAGTGGTTGCAGAGGATGAGGCTAAGCACCACCAGAGCCAGTGCTGTGGCGCAGCTGCCCACAATGGCCGGGACGGCCCAAATGGGCAGGGTGAGGCCCTCTGCGGGTACAGGGCTGCACACAGAGCCCCCATTGCTGGTCATTCTGCAGGTGGATCCCTGGGGACAGCGCACCTCTAGGCAGGCCACCAGGGTCTCGCAAGTTTTGCCGGTATAGGGCTCGGTGCAGGTGCAGGTGAATCCGGAGCGGGGGCCCGGCTCGCAGCTGCCCCCGTTCTGGCAGGGGCTTGAGGAGCAGTCGCCTGGGGGCATGCACTGGTAGTCATACCACTGGTTGACGCACAGCAGGCCTTCCCAGCAGGGGTTGCTGGCACACACGTTGGGCCCCCTGCACCCGATCTTGACCGACGGGTGGCTCTTGGAGATGGTGACGGCGTGGTGCTCGCCGCTGAAGGGTAGGTACTCCCCATTGTATTTGATGTAGGCCAAGCAACCATCAAAACCTGAAAAGAAGCCAAGATACAAACAGTGGCTGACTCAATTACAGGCCAAAGGAAAATCAGTCATTACCTGACCTGCCAGGGTACCCCTGCTTTATGCTGCCTGGGGTACACTCCAAGCCCCCCCAACCCCCCAACCCAAAGTGGTAGATGAAAACATAGGGATGATGAATATACAGGGATAATAAAGATAAACAATTAAGGATAGAGGGATGGATTGCTTTTGGTCAGATATTGAATTTCTTAGTTTATGCAACTGCCAACTAGTAACTAAAGGGTAAATGGTAACTAATATGTATTAGGCAGGCTGTAATTCAGTTGGTAATCATGAGTTATGCCTTTGCTTCTCTATGAGAACCTCTAAACCACTGTTAATAAACTTGTATGATGTCATTAACTGGAAACAGTCCACCTACCAGTAGTCGACTTCTGATGGGTGTGCCCAGGAGGTACCCCTCCCAGTGAGAGCGTCAGGACATCCATGCTCCCAAAATCCTGCGTGTGATGGAGGATCTCCTTCGGCTGTGAGTCGTCGGCCCGCAGGGAGGTGGCCGTCCCATTCTTCTGGAGGAGGAACGTGTGCCACTGGCCGTCGGCGACTGGCAGGTCCCCCAGGGTCCTCTCCACCTTCCCCCCCACGCCAGCATCAGAGATGTAGTGCAGATTTCCGTTCTTCAGCTGGGAGGGAGACAGAGAGGTCAGTGCGTCACTCTGTGATCCCTGCTGCTCCTCAAATTCACAGAGGCACTTTGTACAACTTAATTTACTTGTTACGTCATATGCCGAGTGTCAAATAAAGTTTTTTTGAAAAGCGTATATTTCATGAGCTTCTTATAAGAAGGGTATAATTTTTATTCATAGAGTGGAAAATATCTAATTTTGATTCCAATGCACATATGTTTTCATAAATCTGGTCACCTAGAAGCTTCCTGTAATGCTTATATTAATCAAGTTCCAGGTAAAAAAATTAATAGAAAAAGATTATAGGCAAGCTTTTCCCTTGACATCCTCAGCATGTGACCATTGTGATGTGTGAATGATACTGAAATAAATATAAACACAAAAGTACAGCGAAATAATTGTAGGAACAGCTGGAGCGAGAAGTTTCTTAAACCATTCCAGAAAACCTGGCAATGGAAAAAGCCTAACCCAAAGTTTGGAAGGGAATCTGGAAATCAAATTCCTGTTCGGCATCTTGTTGTGATGTTTATTAAGTAAGACATCGGATATGGCCCGTCACGTCGGAACAGTAGTGGTGTTTCTGGAGAAGGGTCAAATCCGGAAAACAAAACCGGAGAGGGCTTTTGTGTCCCAGGGAAAGTGACCGGGGGAACAGTTAAGGAGATGAATGAGTTTTCAGGCGCTGGATGGAGGCCCAGGATCTGTCAGGGCCCTGGGTGCTGCGAAACGAGAGTGCTGAGGGAGGGTGATGGAGCGGCAGACCGGGTCAAGACGGCGGCCAATCACGAATGGCCCACCGCCTCCGGGCTTCACCTTCACTGTGGTGTAGTTGCTGCTCTCCTGGATGTGGAACAGCGTGCCGCTCCTGCTGCGGGTGCGGAAGCGGACTTCCAGGCTGCTCGGGGCGGCGGGGTCGCGCGCCGGTCCCTGAGGCCGGCGGCCCAGCAGCAGGTCACGTTTGTGGCTCTGGCTCATGGTGTAGTCCAGGCGGCCGCTCCCATCCAGGGACAGCGCTGTGTCCGCCGTCATGTCTGGTGTGGAAGAGGCTCAGGGGTCAATGAAGGCAGACTCTCACACAGCCTGGGGTGTGGTGATTTTGCACGGTGTCTGGTTTCACACTACAGCTGTGCTTACTCTGATTAATCTACATTTACCATATGTCCTTTTCTTCCATACTTGTCCTCCTTTTTGGGACCTAAAACTTGCCTGAACTGTCCTGGACTTTGTTTCATGCTGACATTTAATTTGTACAGTCAGAATATTTTCTGTGCACATATTTGCATTGCACGGACACCTCTCTCCTGCCCCTAATGTCCTCTTTTTCAAAATCAAAATAAGGTGACCGTAGATAATCATCCCAAAAAGCCCCATGCTGTCAGAAGCTTGGTAGATAGCTGGATGACCGGGGCTTACATTTCTCACAGAGTTTCCCGCCGAATCCCTCTGTGCAGCGACACTGCTGCCAGGACCAGTGGTCCACGCAAGTGCCTCCGTGTCGGCAGGGACTGGCAGTGCAGGCTCCTTCCAGCCTGGGACATCTACAGGGATACAGACCACACCATTTCAGGCTATTCCCACGAATGAGGGCTGCCTACATTTAGATATGGATGGATGGAAATATACTGACGTTGACTATAAATGTACATTCCATGACTACTATGACAATTTGCTGAAATTTAAAGGAGCAAAATGACCATCCCGATGCACTAGGGGGGGCCAGACCTGTCCAAGATCCCATGAGACACCAGGGCCTGGCTGGGTTCCAGGGGCCGCCCGTTGACGGCGAACTCCATGATGCAGCCAACAAAGTCGTGGGTGGCGACCTGACCCGGGCGCTGAAGGATGGGCTCGATAGACCGGACTCCGCCCACTGAGAGGCGATTCGGCTGCACGTCCAAGATCCTGCCAAGGCACGGGAGGGTCGCCGGGGGTCAATGCCTCTTACAACAACATGGTCCACTGACCGCAACCCCTCCGCAAATAAACTCCGGCGGGCTCGCTTCTTCTGCTATATCGCTCCGGGACCTCGACCCAACCTTCACGCGCCTAGCCTGGCACAGCCGCCTCTTACAATGTGATGATTTCACAGACCCGTGTGAGATGGATCGCGGTCTCTCCTGGTGCTCCTCTCACTCACCAGTCCGTGTGGACGGCAACGTTGCTGACGGCGCAGTACCCGGGCTCCTGGTTCTCGCCACAGAGGTCCACAGTCAGGGACGCTGCCTGAATGGCGTAGATGACATCACAGGCACAGTGAGACAATGTACACCTACAGTACTGTGACATCAGAGCCAGTCAATGAAGTTCATTTAAATTAAGCACACTGCTATTATGTAATCATTGTCGGAAATCGAGGGACATGGATTCAAAAGATTAACAAAGACTGCGAGCAGGGGTGAGTTTGAGTTCAGGGTCTACGAAAATGTTTCAAATAGCAGCTGTAAGTAATTTCCCAGTAAAAACGATAGCGTAAACCATCAGTTCCAAAGCTCTCCTATTTCCAAGGCCTCACCTGCTCAATCACCGTATTTCAGATGCAAACTCAAGCTGCTCCTTGAAAGCCTTGTGAAAAGCATGTTTCTAGGATTTACTTGACACATAATGGATCATTTTAAAGTGAAACCCTGGAGCGAAAACAGGCATGATGTGATGACCAGAAATATCCGGAATATCGGTAAAAAGGCGACTAAGTTGTTTTTTATTTTGTATCATTATCAATGATTTTTGCTGTGGCAAAAATAAAAATGTCCCACCTCAAATTCTAAAAATGTTCTGAGTAAAAAATATCACGGAAAAAGAAACTAAGGAGATTTTCAGTTACATCAAACATCTATATATGTATAATGTATTTAAGTGTTTACTAATCTAATAGTAACTGAAGACTGTGATGATTAAATTTGCAGTCAGCAGTACGTTAATGACCGTTTGACCGTACCATTATTCTCCACGGGCTATAAGAGGCAGTCGATAGCAGAAACGTGTTGAAAATGTCAAAACACGCCTCCATCCTTAGCATCTGTAAGAGTTCACCACCTCTTGCTCCTGTACAATCCCAAGCAGCAAAAAACTGATAAACGCACAAGCACGCGTGATTCAGCCCCAGTACATAGTGCCAAGTCCACACGTGCTCAGCTACGGAGACCTCAAGTCCGAGCCAAGTATGCAGATTCACGGCAAAAACAAAGCACTAAACATGGCATCACCATGAAGTATGCTGTGAACTCGGGCCAAGGACGCGGGGAAAATGCCGAGACTCTTTCGTTATGGGACATCATGAAAACTGAGCAACATCAAAGCACACAAGTTTTGCTCAGAAATAAAGAATGCAATGGGGAGAAAAGGCAACGTTGAGAACTTCGTGACAAACCACTGAAGAGGCCAAGGCTAACAAACAATCCCAGTGTCTCCGGACCAACAGTTTGACGAAGCAGTGTAAGGGAGCAGCTGGTACACTTCCCGTTTTTGCTGATATCAAATGGTCTTTACATCCATCGAACAGGGGAAGTGAGTCTTTGTTTGGCCTCCAGCCAGGCAGCAGTATAAACACTGACACCGATAACGATATCAGGACAGTTTTATGCTATGAAATGTGCCCCCCCGCCATAGGTGGTACGATCTGACTCCAGTAGCTAAAATGATGCTGTGGGTCTGAACTAAGAATAGGAAGCGGGGGGGATTTTTTTGCAAATAAACAACCCTGAGGCTTACATTGTTTTCATGCTTGGCCAAATGAAAACACAGAACCAACGGATTTGACATTTGCCATATGCACCACGAGGCCTTCCGGGACAAACATGGTCACTGGGCTGGCTTCAAGAGTCTGTGGAGAGGGGCCGCGGGTAGACAATACAGAAAGGTGCAACAAGCTTATTATCTTTTGAATTCACCTTTCCAGCTTTGGGGGGTAATTTCATTGAATTGGCTGTGGTGTGGTGGGGGGCACAATCCCTGCCCTCTCTGCAGGTTCTGCACCCTGACAATTTAATGATTTTACCAGTTTCCTACCAAATCTCCCTGCACTGTAAAGAATGACAGATTTGGAGTCCTACCGGGGACTTGCACTATAAAATCCTTCACAAGCTTTTTACATTTTTTTTTCCAGCTCAGAAAACGACGGAAGGGAAGAACAAAGTCTGAGCAAAGAGCGAGGAATCTGGTCGAAGGACGAACCAGGAGCATTTCAAGCCTCTAACGCAAATCCAGACAGCCCGAGTTTTCAAACGTAATTATAAAGTATGAAAGCCACAAGCAAAACTACCAGTGTGGGCAATTTAATTACAAGTTTTGGGCTTCAAGCTCCTTTTCAAATGAAGTAGTGTATCTGATTCTGCACCCTGCTTCCAGAAAACCAAAAAATCCTAAGCATTTCAAAGAAGCCAGTGGGATTTCTACTGCAAACTGAAATCTAAAGGGACATTCTGTGCATGTAGGTATGCGCAACCTGAAATCCCATTACTGCATGAACTATCCCACTTAACATCTCAAAGCCTTGACACTTGCAGAGGAATATGACAAATGTTACTAGTCTACCATTTAATAAGGTTGTCTCTCACAGCATTGTCTTGAATGTAGAGAAAAAGAGACATCGCTCACCATTCCAGCTCTTCTTGCGATGACTGTATGGAACTGTCCATCTGCAACACTTTTTGTGGTCCTTAGTTTATAGGTCCCACTTCCCAAGTTAAAGGAGAACTGCATCTGTCCTTCAAGAATTTCAAGAGCCAGAAACTCTGCTTTCTCTCCAGTCTGGTTGTCATGGTTGTAAAGGAGAAGGGCATTGCTCTTTATGGTGGCAAACTTAATGTAGATGTAGTTATTATTGGGATCCAAACTGGGAAACTCCATATATGACAGCTCCTCAAATCCATAGCTGTTCAGTTCACAGTGTTTTCCAAAGACACCTAGAAAAAAAATATATACTCTTTTATATAAAACATTTATATAACAATATACATTTAACTGGAGATGATTATTTTGAAAAATATGAGAAGAGTTTTTACATCACACCTGTGTACTACATGATTTCATGATGTATTGACCTATTATTATGATTTGATTATCATACATCATGATTCACATAAAATGGGAATAAATAAATAAAATATGGGCACGATTAATGATAGAATCTAAATATGATATGACCTCACATACACTCTAAGTGGTGGACACGTACCCGGTATCCATATCTTTCTCAAATCCCCTATTGGGCTACGATACAAGAGACATTCAAATAGCATCCTGCTGCCTTTTTATATACGTTTTGGGTCAGTATCTGAATCTATCCCTTTGGTACATGAAGGTAAATGTCGATATACTCCAGGCTTGCTAGGAGAGATCACTGTTGACACTAATGAGACAAGAGAGCCCTTCTGGAAAGGCCAGCACCGGCATGTTAGCTGAGTATTCACTTACCAAACGGGCAATGACAGTAATATCCGTCGAGGCCGTTCTGACAGGAGCCACCATTAAAACAAGGGTTACACTCACAGTAATTGATGGCAGACTCACACGTTTTGCCTGGGTTCACAAGACAACACATGCAAAGATGGATGAATCAGAGAAGAGGTAACCATGCAGCACACGGTAGGTGTCCAAAATTCATCAGGGCATTCGTTCCTGCCGCCATTCATGGGTCTAGCACAATTTTAAAGTCATAGGATTCTAAATCTTTCACCTTGTGAAATGGAGCGGATTCGTAGCTAACCTAACACATATATAAGCATTAAACACATGACTGCAGATCAGATAAATGATGTCTTTGACGGGATCTAGGAGACCCACAAAGCCAACCTGCGAAATGAAAACACAAGCGGGTTTCAAAGAATAACAGACAGCTCCCTTTGATAAAATATGGGAAAGGTGATGTGTGGCATGTCCAGATGGGATTGTGAGATCAACACACTCGATGGTTTATTTGTACTGAGTTTAGGCTCTGATTTTTGCCGCATAAAACAAACAACATAATGGCGAGACATTCCTCTTGGAAGCAGATTGGCAAAATGGGAAATGAGGGGTTCAGTAAAAGAGTGCACAAACTACTGTAAGTCGAAAGGTATATTTTGAAAGCAGGGCCATTCGTCTTTAGGGAGAGAGTAATGTCTTGTGGTCGTCTATAATGGTCGTGATACTGAAGGTCTATAATGACCTCAATGAGCAGTATGTGGAGGGGGTTCATCTCAATAAAATACAACCAGCACCTGACTAAACAAGATTACTCAAATATAATAATTATTTCAAATCCATCTTTGCTGTCTCACTATAAAATAACACTGCCGTTAATCAACTCAGCACAATACATAAACATATGCAATTCAAAAATGAATCTAGGACTAATTAGTGAACTATTTTTATACTTATTAACTCTTTGTCAATTAATAACTGTGTTTAATAAACAAAAATGTATTACACCATGTTAGGACATGGGAGGGAGTATTTCATTTATGAAATACGAGACTGCTGAACTATTAATAAGCCCTTATTTGGGTTGTTTTTTGCATAATCTACAATAAATTAAAAGAAATACGACTAGCTGATACCTCCCAGTGCGTCAACCTGAGCATAAACCCTTTTTTGGCATTCTAACTGGTTTTCTGTGGTTGAAACTGTAATCATCTGGAAGCAAATATTTTCGTTGGACTAAAACAGGAGTTGTGTGCGAATACTAGGGTTCCTAACAGCTGTGCCTGCATTTCTTGCAAAGCCTACTGTAGCTCCATGCTAGGGAACCGAACCATACCTGTGAATCCAGACTTGCAGAGACAGTTGAACCCCCCGGGGAAGTTCTGGCAGAGCGCCCCATTCTTGCAGGGGTTGGACAGGCACTCGTTGACATCCCGTTCGCAGGCCATCCCGGTGAAGCCCTCTGGACAGGTGCAGGAGAAGCCACCCACCAGGTTGTGGCAGGTGCCGCCGTTGTGACAGGGAGCCGGTAGACACTCATTGATGTCTGCCTCACACAGAGCTCCCGTGTAACCCGGCAGGCAGCTACAGGCATACGGCTGCAGAGGCCGGTTTGACACCAGGATGACAGGCATGCTTTCCTCGGTCTTCACCTCAGGCCCCACGCCGAGACGTCTTCTGCAGTTACCCCCGTTCTGACAAGGATTCTGGGTACAGGGTTCATCATCCACCACGTCAATCCGTGCACCGCTCTGCCGATGGAGAATGTCCTTGATGCTCTCAAAGAAAGTGGCGACCCCACTGGGATTCACATACTGCCCGTAGCCCCGTCTCACGGCGGCCATTAGAAAGGTTTGGTTGTTCAGCTCAAAGGCCCCATAGAGCTGAACGCCGGTGCCAAGTCCAGCCAGCTGTGAGTTAGCGATTCGAAGGAAGCTCAGGTAGTGATTGGTAAGGAAGTCCCTCACTCCCTGGACGTGGAGGCGGATCAGGATGCTGTTGTCGATTGTGGCATTGGTGAAGCCCGTGAAGAAAATTCGGATTTTGCTGTCAACAGCACCGTGGACCCCATCGTTGCTGCGCACGGAAAAGTCAAACGTACCGTCGGTGGAACGGGCATGGGAGTTGAGATCACAAGTTCCTGGAGTGATGCTGAAGAGGCTCGGCACGGTGGAGGTGAGGGAGCAGCGGAATGTGTCCTGCACATCTGGGTCCTGCGGTCTCACACTGCCTAGGGGCCCACCGGGGAACAGGTTACCAAAGTAATGGACGTAGATCTCCACCATTCGGGGCTCAGAGGGATTATCATTTTGGTCATTGATCTGAATGTGGAGTGTTCCCGTTGAGGACATCTGGGGAACACCTGAGTCTCGTATCACCACATTAAGGTAGAAGTCACTTATCTGCTCCCTGTCGATTTCCCTACTGGTTGTCAGTACTCCAGAAGAACTGAGACTAAAGTAGCTGGTGGCTGAGCTGCTGCTGAGCAAGCTGTATGTGAAGGGGCCCTGGTTGGGGGGCAGATCAGGGTCAATGGAGCTCAAGGTCATGACGGGTGTTCCTGCACGCTGGTTTTCCATCACCTGCCCTCTGGTTGTCACCAGGGTGGGACCGTTGTCATTGATGTCTTCTAAGGTCACGATCAGGGTGGCACTTCCAGTGGCAGATGGTGACCCCGTATCAATTGCCAGCAGGGTCAGATTGTAAACAGGTGTGGACTCCCTGTCTAGCTCAGCAGCCACTGAAACCTGACCCGTCTGAGGATTAATTGTAAAGGCATTGTTTTCATTATCGGTGGCTATGGAATAAGAGAACCTGCTCCAGCTGGGGACAGAGTCCGAATCTTCGGCGCTGACAAAAGTAACCAGACTGCCAGGCGAAAGCCCCTCGCTCACCTGAACGTCATACAGCTCCAATGAAAAGACAGGAGGGTCGTTGGCATCCAGAATAGTAATGTTCACAAAGACCTCATCAATATCTGCTCCTCTGATGCTCCCAGCGTTCTTTGCTAACACCCTTAGGGAGATCTTGTCCTCTTTCTCACGGTCCAGAGGGCCCGTGACGTATACCTGTCCTGTCTTCTTGTTAATGCCAAAGCCCTTCCTTCTGCTTCTCCCAAAAATGAGATAGTGGACCTCGCCATCCACCCCAAGGTCACGGTCACTTGCAAATACCTCACCCACAACTGTGCCCTTGGGGGCAGCCTCGGAGACCTCAAAGTAGTATTGCTTGGAGACGAATCGAGGCACGTATTCGTTGGCCCCGACCAGCTGAATGTTGACATTGGCAAAACTGCAGCGATCCTCATCCGGGACATTAAAGGCCTTGACTGTTAGGTGGTAAGTCTGCTTGGCCTCGTAATCCAGAAAGCCCTGTGTGGTAATGATGCCTGTGTTGGGATTGATGCCAAATAGGTCGCTGTCCGAGGACTGGATCACGTACGCTATGACGGCATTTGGCCCTGAGTCTCTGTCTGTTGCATTCATCCGCACCACAACGGTGCCACTGGGGACGTTCTCTTGTACGGTTGGAAAGTACTCATCCGGCTTGAAAATGGGAGGGTTATCGTTTATGTCGGTTACGTGGATTGTGACGGTGATGTAACCAGTCTTGGCAATCCAGCCTCCATCCGTGCCTGTTACTCTGAGTTCATGAGTTTGTTTTTCTTCGTAGTCTAATGACTGTGCCAGGGTCAAAACCCCTGTCTTACTGTTGAGAGCAAAGAGGCCTGCCTCATTACCTGAGGTAATGTTATAGGTAATGAACCCATTCATCTCCTTGTCCTTATCCCTTGCTGAAAGCGTTCTAATGGCTGTGCCTATACTTAGGCTCTCTGGTACCGTGGCAGTGATGTGGTTCTGCGAGAATTCCGGTGTGTGGTGGTTCTCCTCTGTCACCGCAACCCGCACTGTGGTTTTTGACGACAGCGGAGGATTCCCTTTGTCTTTAGCCATAACTTCAATTATGAAAACTCTATTCATTTCCGGGGTAAGAGAGGTGGCCACAGTCAACCAGCCTGTATGTTTATCCAGACGAAACCTACTTGAGCTGTTCCCACCCGATATTAAATACTCAACTTCGGAGTTTAGCCCAAAATCTTTCTTGTCGACAGCCACAAGCCTAATAAGCTTCGTGCCCACTTTGACACTTTTTGTGACAGGGGTGAAATAGCTAGATGATTCGAATTGTGGTGGATTATCGTTGCTATCCACTACGTTTACGATGACAGTGGTTTCGCTCATGAGGGGTTTAGTCCCTCTGTCTGATGCAGTGACGATGAAACTGTGACGGTTGATGTTGACATTACTGTGTCCACTGGAGTTCTGATACCTTAACTGCTGCTTGATAAAGATCTCACCTGAGGTAGAGTTGATTCGGAAGAATTCTGACTGTGACCTTATGAAGTAAAATATCTGCCCGTTGAAGCCCTCATCTGGGTCTGTCGCTGAGACACGAGTGACAACAGACCCGACCTCAGTGAGCTCAGGGTAGTCAAGATAGTAAGACGGCCGACTGAAGCGGGGAGCATTGTCATTCACATCTGTTACAAATATCGTCACGTCTGTGCTAACAGTCCAGCCCAAATCATGGGCAGAGACCCTGACAATGTAGCGGTCTGTGTCTTCTCTGTTCAGGGGTCTGCTGATCGTTATATCACCCGTGTCGGGATTTATTACGAAGGGAAGACTCGTGTCCGTGATGGAATAGTGACTTATGGCATTAACGCCAGTATCCTCATCAGAGGTCGTGACCTGGGTCACGGTAAAGCCAATGGGGGCATTCTCAGACACCATGGTGCTGAAAATCTGGGAAAATCTGGGGGCATTGTCATTCACATCCAGGACACCAATCTGAACTCTCACAGATGTGCTTTTTGGTGGAATGCCACGGTCTGTTGCTTTGATTCTAAGTTCGTACTGTGCGACTTTCTCTCTGTCAAGGAGCCTCGTGGTTCGAATCTCGCCGGTTGCCCGGTTAATGCTGAAGCTATTGTCCTTGTTCCCGTCGATGATGGTGTACTCCAGCTGTCCATTGGGACCACTGTCCCGATCGATGGCCGACACCACGAGCACCCTCTGCGGAGGGAGGTTTTCTAAGATCTCGGCCTGGAATGGTTCCCGTCCGAAAGCAGGATGGTTGTCGTTGACATCTAGTACATTTATTTCCACATTTTTGTAGGACGAATAGGGAGGAAAGCCTTGGTCTCTGGCTTCAATCCAAAGCACATACTTCTGTATATTTTCATAATCGAGACCCTTCCTGATGGAAAGCTCTCCTGTTTGCTGGTCCACGTGAAATGCACCATCTAGGTTTCCACTGGCGATGTAGAATGATAACGCTCCTCCTCTGGGAGAGGAGCCGGAAACTGTGGTAAGCAGAGTGTCCGTTGCTTGACTTTCAGGGAAGGTGAAGCTAGTCTGCTCCATCATGATGATCGGGAAGTCCGCCCCGGTCACAAATCTGACAGTCACTGTCGTGGTGTCGGCCTTGGGGGTGGCTCCGCCGTCCTTCACTCGGACAGTGAGGGTCACTTCCGAGCTGCCTGTTAGCTTCTCGTTGGCTGTGATGGCCCCCCTCACGGAGTCGATCTTGAACTTCTCTGAATTCCTGCCAGTTAAAGAGTAGTGAAGCTGAGCGTTGTGTCCGGCATCCTCATCCGTCACCGTCACTGCAAAGACCAGGGATCCTGTGCATGATAAAAAAAACATTGTAGGTTGTCAGTATGGAGCACGTAACTTCTCCCTGCATCTGAGCCATCTTCACATAAACATAGCATGCATAGAATTCTTCTTTAAAGTAACTCATTCTGTCTGCCAATACACACATATCTAAGTACACCTATAGACAAATGACTATACATATCTAATGCTGACTGTGATCCTTTTCAGTCGATTCCATTTTATCGGAATTGGACTGCACAATGTCCAGATGCAATTCAACATTCAAGAATGACCTCAGTGCCCTCATGACCGTCAGTAGAAAGCTACCAGAGTAAAAGACTACCTGCTGAGGTGGAGGCTGGGACGTGGGTAACGTAGGGGTGGTGGTGGAAGCGGGGAGGGTTGTCATTGACGTCCAACACCAACACCGACACCGTGGCAGAGCTAGTCAGGCCCAGTGGCTGCCCGCCGTCGGATGCCACCACTAGCAGCTCGTAGCTAGCCCTGGTCTCCCGGTCCAGGAGAGAGCTGGTGATGATCTGCCCTGTAGCGGGGTTGATGGAAAACTGCCCATCTCCACCTGTGAGACTGTAACTAATGGACACATAAAATCATACCCATTAGCTAATTAACTGAATTGTATTTCGTAAACAAATTAATGTTTATTTACAAGTCTATTTAAAGCGCTCAATTAAAAATACAATTAGTACTTTCTCCATGACCCTGAGCAGGAAAAAGGGTTGAAAGATGGACAGATGAAGATATAGGCTTTTGATCACCCAGTAATGCCAATTATAACCTGCGGAGGGCACTGTTGGAAGCCATTATGAATTTGGAGGCTTACTTGCAACAGAACAAGACACATTGCTCTTATTGCATCTTTACATAGATCTAGCTTTTTTTAAGCAATCCATAAAAAAGTCTTTAAAGTTTATTTTAGTATATCACTGAGTTTGCATCTCAGTGGTTTGTTTTTATTCCAGCGCGCAGAGGCATTTAAACACAAATGTTCCTCTACTGTAGTTAAATACTGGACCGATCCCAGAATTCTTTACGACCGAAAAGTCATACTTTCGGGTTACAAAAAGAGTATCGGGTTTCAAGCTGTTTTTGCTGAATTTTCTACCAAAACGCAGAAGTAAACTTCTTCTGACTGACATACAGTATACTAATAGTGCACATGCCATTTTGACAAAGGTTTTTCCCCCACACTGCATCAGTAATTATAGGTATTAAATTAAATGCAACAAGACCCTACATACAAGCAGGTTTTGCTGCTAAATCACTCAAAAAAGCAAACAAGCATTTTTTAAACCTACTGACAATAGTACTTAATAACTGATATCCCTTTAACTTGTTTAAGGCCTAGTCAGCCCATGTTTGGTATGTCTAATTCTGTCACTACTGATTAGCATCCTCATTACTACAGTTACCATGCTGTTACTTTGTTTGGTGTGGTTGGGGGGAGGGGCATTTCTGACCAGGGACCCCCACCTTGTGTGCATGGTGCACACTAACCTGATCACGCCATTGAGGCCGGCATCTGCGTCGGAGCCGTTGACCAGCAGGACGTCGGTGCCAGTGGGTGCGTCTTCGGGCACTGAGGCGTGGAAGGAGGTGGCCGCAAACAGGGGCACGTTGTCGTTATCGTCATCCACCTGGACGACGACCGTGCCGGTGCCACTTAGCGCCGGAGAACCTGCGGATTTCAAAGGTGAAGAAACTGAGGAACGAGTAACTATTGTTTACCTCAATTACAATTACTGTGCAGCGGTTAGCATTGTCGCTTCACACCTCTGGGACCTGGGTTCGAATCTCTGTTCGTTTTTCCTGTTTGTGGAGTTTGCATGTTCTCCCCATGTTGTCTTGGGGTTTCCTTTAGGTACTTTGGTTTCCTCCTGTAGTCTTAAGACATGCTGAGATGAACCGGAGTTGCCAAATTGCCTGTATGTGGGAGTGAATGGTGTGTGAGCCCTGCAACGGGTTGGCACCTCATCCTGGGTTGTTCCCTGCCTTGTGCCCATAGGTTCCAGACCCCCTTGGCAACCCTGAATAGGACAAGCAGTTACAGAAAATGGATGGATGGATGGATGGACGACTACTGGCAATTACCAAAATTATCCATTATCAAGTATTAGCATATACTACCTTGGCACATCTAAGCTGTTTGTCCCCTTTAAATAAGTTCTGATGTTCTTTATTCAGTGTTTTGTGGATATCTACCCGTGGAGCAGGGAAGGAGAGTGGCGCTGTTTGAGTTACACGCTGCGATTCGAGTGTGCAGAGAAAGCCATTTTGAGTAAAAATCAAACTGTTTCTCCACTTCATGTGACACGGAAAAAAGAGAGAACGAACGAAAGAAAACTCTCACACGCTCAGTGGGGCTGGTTTTAAATCAGGAGCAGATGAGAAATAACAGCTTACCATAATAACAAAAAAACTCAGACATCTGCTCCATGTGTTACTTCAGAACACGGTTAAAATTCATTTGCACTTCATGTTGTCGCATGGCGATAGCATCAAACGTTTCGCCCCGCAAACGGTGGAGCGCTAACATAACACGAGAAAAGAATAACGACTAAAAGTTGGCTGATCACTTTCCATAATCCCCCCCCCCCTGCAAGATCCGAAAGGAAAAACGTGATTCAGGCTGGAGCGTTTCTGTTTCAGGTCCGGACCGAGGAAAAGTCTGAGCAGCTCCACAGTGATGGGATTTCCTGTGCCACGCTGACCTTGGCGGCGTTAATTTATTAATTTCGATTGAAAAAGCATTTGCAGTGGGGCTATGACCTTGCTTTTCAGATTTTCCCCGTTTAGGCAGTATGATTGGGGGAGTTAGGTACAACTTTCCTGGTCGGGGGGGGGGGGGGGGACGGAAACCTTTATTCTACTACATTTGCACATACGTCCAAGGCTGGATTGAAAGCATGTAAAGTTAATGAAATTCATTCTAAGTGCATAAACTAATCTTCTGAAATACATTCCTGCACAACAGAATATAAACACTCAGACACACAAACATTAAAAAAAAGAAAAAAAAAGATCCAAGTCCTGTCCAAAAATACCGATCCCTAAAACCACAGTCCTCAAAACTCCCTTCTGCGGAGTCGGGATGAATCATGATCTGCTCTCACAGCCATATTCCTTGCAAGGCTTGTCGTTTTCTGTGATGCTCTGCTCTTATGACAAAAGCAGGGTGGGGGCATTGAGGTGATTATGGTTCAAAGACAGTCAGCTGACTTACCCTGGTAGCTGGCAAAGTAATTAGGCAAATATTTGGTCCTACTGACGGAATTGTAAAGGGCCGTTCCCTGACAGTAATGCCCATTCACGGCATTTCATTCAAGATTTTCTCGTTTCCAGAGAGAAAAAAAATACATGAAAGTAATATGAGCAAAATGGACTGTGGAAGACCGGAGGCTAACGTCTATGTGGAAAGCACATATAAACTACTTAGTCATGTGACCACTCTTAACGTCCATATCCCCAGAAAGGATAGGAAAGACATGCAGTAAGAGGTACATTGCAAGCAGGTAGAATTCGACAGCGTAAACGTGTCTGTTCGTCATTGCTGCGCGGTCGTGTTTCGTGCGAGGAGCTGCCTCGGTTCAGCAGTCCACAGACTGCAGGAGGACCGGCAATCCTCTTAATTTCAAATCGGTCCCCTTCAGGTACTCATATCTGATGCAGTTACAGTAATTGTTCTGAAGATGTAGAAGAGGCCAGCGTGTATATTTAGCTCACAGCTAGTTCTTCTATGCCCAGCTTATATCACGGCTCTTTAGCTTTTACAGTTACGTCCATTCCTGCTATCAGATTGTTGGATAATTGTCGTCTTTCAAAGAAACATCCCATAGTCTGAAGCAAAGTAATGAGAAATTTCTGGCCTCAATCCAGACAATACATTTCAGATGGCTGTGATGTCATGACCTGTTTACTAACACAGAACAGGTGATGGTCACGCCATGGCAGCTCCAGCCAATGACATCGAGAGCCCCCAGGTGACCCCGCCCACCCCCCCATCCTGCTCTGTCCACCTGCTTTTCCCCAGCGACTGGCCAGCCCAGTTCTGTGACCTCGAGGATTATGTCAGTGATTTGTAGGAATTCTTTCCCCCCTCTCTCTTGTCCCAGTACTGCTTATGTGAGTGCTTCAAAATCTTGCCGTTCTCTCCTAATTTGTTGACTTTCCCAGTTTGATGTTTGACGGAACCAGGAGATGAAGGGAAACTTCTCACATTCTGTAAATGTGTTTTAAAACTGTTGTATTGTCTTGTAATGACTCAGTGGACATACCTGTCATTATTAGCCAGTCATTTGGAGGGCAAATTTCCAAAGCTCAGTCCATTTTCTTTTGTTTACGAGATGAGACCCCCAATGACCTAAAGTCAGGCTTCCTCATCATGTGTTACAGAATTGGGACACAAAACTCCTCACATAATCCAACGCTGAACCTTCACTGAATTTCCAGGACTCAACAAGTCCTCAGAAATTTTCTTTAAAACGTATCGCATGGACAGAGCAAGTTTCTGAAATTTGATCTTTATAAGTTTACACAACACTCTATGCAGCAGTGATATGTGACATCGGTCCTGATCTGAGCAAATGAAGAGTGAAACTGGATGCCGTGTCTAATGCTTCCGATACCCCTACTATTAAAATTTATTATCCTAGCAGAATATTCAGACAAAATAAAGACAGCATTATTGAGCATTTTGGACATGAAACAAAATGTATCTTCTGATGGCTGTGATCAATGGTGGGGGGGTGGTTTTCATTGTGTCCACACAGTGCTCTCTGCTGGTGACAGGTCACACCATTGTGCCATGGGAAGACCGCGGGTGGAAATCTGTACAGCTGGCATAGAGTCCCGGCTCCTGCCATGCACCACCGCGGTGGAAATGCTGTTTCCATATGTAGGCTACACTCCCAGAATGCCACGCTCCTACTACCCCAGCACATCTGGCTGCGCAGTACAATGTATCAATGAGAAGTAAACCAAGGGGGCTTTTCTTCTGAGTCTCTCCCATGTTCACTCCCCCCCCCCCCACCCCCCAAAATCCAAGATCTGTAGTGACATTTCATCGTAGCCCCTGCGCTGTGCGGCTCTGCTCCGAATTCCACGGGGATGACGAGGCCCGGTTACAGCGAGCACATCTGGAGCGGGGGGGGGGGGGGCGCCGCAGTCTTCACAGCATGCGCGTGTGTGTGCGTGTGCATGTATGTGTGAGCGATACCCCGGGGCAAGACCCTCAGCCTGCATAGGGATGGTAAACAAACCGTTTGGCTGTCTGGTAAACTACAATGAACTGATCAGTCTCATGGACTCACACGACCAGCGAGTGGTCAAATGTTTTGATTCCCCTTTTGTTTTCTTTTCCAGTTTTTGCCAAAAGGAAATAGCTCTCTTAAGTGCCTAAGCTGTATTCAACCTCCCCCCCCCCTTTCCATTCAGAACCCCTTTAAAATGTGTGCAGGCAGCAAATTGCTTACACACAAACACACGTTTGCATTTCTGCCTTTGCTGGAACTACCCCATTGACTCTTGCCAATCGTGACAATCACTGAAGCAGCAAACGAACAATCAGCAAACAAACAGAAACAGCAAACAAAAACACACACGTGCACACTCAGGCATGCTCGCATTTACATAATCCAGCCAAAGGTCATCTTAGGGTACTTCAGGGGTCAACGGCCTGAGCTCCTTCTGTCGATATTCCAGTTTGCTTTCATTTATTTCAAAGGCACATACATCAATGCAGTTACTCATCCCTTTCCAGATAAACTGTATATGTTACAACAGGGGTTTTGTTTTGATTATGCACTGTTTTGCCAGCGCACATCAGCCATAATAGCAGACATGTACACAACAATTTCTCTGCCAGGAGCAGGGAAATGAATTTCAGGCCAGGAAATGTGCGCTTCCAGTCAACATAGAGAGCATTTTATGATGCGGCATTCCTACTCCTAAGGCTGGGATTACCCAAGAGGCCCACGCTAAAACCAGCCGGCCCATACTCGTGTCGATACGCTCCGGGCCAAGGGCCCACCCCCATGAGAACCCTACACCTCCCTCGTTACCTTCCTCTCCAAAGCAGAACCACAGACTGATGTTATTTAGATAACAGTAGAAATACCCAGGTCAGCCACCTCGGCCTAAAAGTAAACAACAAAAAACGTTCTCCTCTGAGGTGACGGACCCCAAACGCTAATATTGCCCTTTCGTGACTCGCCTCCGCGTACCAGCAGTCGTTTAGATCCAATCCTCCTGCATTAGCATTTTTAGGTAACGCGTCTATCAGCAATCCACGGTGCGTAGCAAGCGAGCACCAAACAGTAGAAGCTATTAAAATTACAAGCTTGTGCCTACTTCCCCGCCACCCCCCCCACCCCCCTACGCGATTCCCAGCATCACCTGAAACACACACACAGACCATTCTTTCTAAGCCAGACTGAAGCCCACACTGCAAAGCATAAACATATGGCGATGTCTAAGTGCCTAATTACTGCACATCGCTGAAGAGAAAATCACATTACATCTGAGCATCCCCAATATTCTGAGTGCTTGCGTGTGGGAGGGGGGAGGGGTACAGATATGTAATTATACTTGTAATTACTGTACCGGCATTTTTAAATTATACTAATCAAAAATGACCAAATTGCAGGCCATGCAAAGCATACCACCCAAATAATGAAGCAA